GGAACATGCTTGTGCTGGGGTCACAGCAGGGTGGTTTTACCTCTTGGGACCGAGCCCAGAGGAGGCTTTGCAGCTTCAGAGTGGGAGCTGCCGGTGGGTGCTGGGATGGTGACAGCATTTTCTTCTGCTGGGAGAGACCCAGAAAGATACCCGTTGGCTTTTTATTTTGTTTCCTCTCTCTGAAGAACTTCAATGTGTAGCCAAGGGGGAAAATTTGAAGTGGACTGAATAAAATAGGAAAAGAGGTGGCACCACGCAGGCGAGGACGTGGGGCCTCAAACCACCCCAAGCATCCAAGATGCTGGATGCACCATGTTCCAGGACTGATGCTGCTCCTCCACTGGCTTCGCTTCTCTTCCAGCCGGGATGGGCAGCGAGATGGGGAGAGGGGAGCCGGTGCCTGGATGCTGCTCCGTGCGATCCCCTCCCTGCCCCGCGCTGGGGGCGGCGTTGGAGGTTAGGCTGAAAGGGAGTTATTTTTAAGCATCACATCTCGGCGCAGACTGTCATTACCATTCCCCGTACCTTTCCCGGTGGGTGGGGAAGCCAAGGAAGGGCTCTCGCAGCACAGCTCGGCGCGTCCTCGTACCTGTAAGGTCTCGGCTGCCTGAGTCCCCCTTCCCTGCGGAGGGGGGGCTTGGGGCAGCTCAGCCACCACCGGCTTTGGCGTCACGGGCTCCCTCGGGGGCTTGGACGAGGTGGAGGGGGCTGCGCTGTGCCTCGGCGCTTTGGGTGTCTCACCGATCACCGTGGCCTTTAAACACGCTGCGGGCTTCGCTGGCTGATTTGGCAACAAATTTCAAAACCGGTTTATTCCCAAAATCAGGAGAACGGCTTTAAAGTCACTTTTAGGAAAAGAAAAGGAGGTGCTCTCTGTTTGTCAGGCACTTCTTGAGTGTTCGTTACAGCCTAGGGTGCTCCCGATACCAGCTCCCCCGGGGTGATGCTCTGCAGATGTGACCTGCAGAAGACCCCCAGGATGGGATCCTGGGTGCAGGATGGGATCATGCCCCGAGGATGGGCAATGCAGCCTGGAGCAGGGCAGGACAGCGATGGAAACACTCTCCCTGGGGAGATGCCGAGTTTTAAATCCCTGCTGGCGTGGTGGAGTCTGTCCCGCACTGAAGCCCTTTCCAGGTGTGAGCCAAGTGCACTCCTGGAAAGAGAACTGGCAAGGGGGAGAAACCTGCAAGGGGAAGGCAGCTGCCCTCAGCGCTGCCTGCACTTGGCCCTTTTCCACTCGGTGTTTTTGCAGCTCTCCAGCACATCACCAAGCTGGCTGGCCGCTGGCTGGCATCTCCTGTGGCACAGCACTGGGGTGGCATTGCCCGGCACTGGCGCAGCCCCTCATCCCTCGGCCGGAGGGGAATTTTGAGGCCAAATCTGCTTTTTGATAGCCTGTGGCACGCTGCAAATTCAAGCTGGCAGCACGATCATGGCAGGGGCAGAGCATCCCCGGGGCACTCAAGGGATGCAGGGACCCACCTGCAAGAGGGACCCTTCCCGAATTCCGCTTTACTCCCAGTCCAGCTCCACTGTTGTCAGATGCGTTGGGATTTAGTGTCAAATTTTAGGACCGTCTGTCTGCGAAGGCGGTGGGAGAGGATTTGGGGGGGGGGGGGGGGGAACAAGAAATATGCCTTCATGATGGGGGGGATTAGAGAAATATTTGGGTTTATTTTAATGCCAGGCTTATTGCGGGGATTGGAAGCTTAACTCCGAACCTGGCAGCAGAGCAGCCCTCATCTCGCTCGATAACGCTAACGGCATTTACATTTCTATACTGTCATTCCTCCCCACTGGGAATCAAAACCTCAAAACTGGAGGCGTCGGGTCCCAGTGAACCACGGCTGCCTCCGGGCTGGAGGGAGGTGGCCGGGAGCCCTGGACCACCGCCTGTCCCTGCCAAGGGACCGGGCTGTCCCCCTGCCCCGGCAGCACCCACAGGACCCCGAGCCCTGCCCTCCAGCTGAGCTGTGTCTAGTGCCGCTGCTCCAACGTTGAATTAATCCATTCGCGTGAGTGTCGGCGTCTGCGAGTTGCAGAATTGGATGGCAATGCTGGGTTTTATTTTTTTATTTTTTTTTTAATATATTTTTTTAAAGAGCTTATATAACCTTGGGGATTCTATTAATAAAAATAATGGTTTTGAACTCTGGGAACAACCAGCCCCGGCAATGAGCAATTAAATGCTCCAACTTCAGAAAGCAGGCAGCTATCGGGCGGCGGGGAGATAAGGGGAGAGGCGCTCGGGGCAGGAGTAGTGGCAGGGGGCTGGGGAGGGGGCGAAGAGGATTCCCTGCCTGGAGGCAGATTGCTGGCATCTGCCTGTCCCTCCTGCCCTGTATCTCCATCCCTGTTCCCTGGGGAAAGGGAGAAGAGGGGAGAATGGGGTCCAGACCCCATGGATGTGGGGCTGATGGGCACCCTCTGGTCCTGCTGCACCCATTTTTAAACATCCCAGCTCCCACAGTTTAACACCGGGTTGTGGGAACAGCAGCCCGGCACGGCCGAGGGGAACATCACCTTGGACCCAACCCAACGCCCTCGGTGGGACCCCGGGGGATGCTCGTGGTCCCCACGGGCGCTGGCTTTGGCTCCGGGGGGGCTCGGGTGGGCTAAAGGAGATAATGGCAGAATTGGGTTTAAAGAGGCACAACTGAGGCTCTGGGCCAAAAATCAGAGGTGGCTGGTGTGTGTGTTCAGCGTGATTTTGGGGGGCCATGAGCCCCGGGGGGTTGACATTTCTCCCCCTCAGCTGGTAACAAAGAGCCTTTGCTCCGCTCTTGTGGTTTAGGGGGGGGGAGTCTTACTTTTTTAATCCCTGAGTAGCCAGCAAGGCATTTAAAGGGTTTGATATAAAATTAAGAGAGGTTGAATCTAAGATGGTAATTAGAGAAAGCTGGGACATAACCTAAATCAGGGCATTTGGAGGCAAAAAAACCCACAGTCTTTGGGATGTGTTTGAGTTGTTTCCCTTTAATACCAAAATATTTAAAAACTCATTTTTCCATTCAGGGTGAACATTGCATTGGGTTTATTGTGTTTCTCCCTTTGCAATGCAGGATTATCAGCTTGTTTCACAGAAAGGTTTAACACCCCACTCAGCAGTGGGCTGTGGGTTTGGGTTGTTTTGTTTGGGACTTTATTGTTTTTCCTTTAAATCTCCCTTCTTCAAATTGCCACAGCTTGACAGCCTTGTGCCAGGAACACGCTGTCATCCTGAAACTCATATCTTTAATTCCTTCCCTCTGATGCTAATAACACCTTAAGATGATTAAGACTGGGGGAAAAAAAACCTTAGTATCTTATTTTTCTGCCGTCGGTGATGCTGGTTGCTGGCTCTCAGTGCTTCATTCATCTCGGGGAGTAAAATTAGAGCGGTCACCCTCCTCCTACCAGGGTGTTTCTCCATGGTTTTAGTCTCTGGCTTTTAATTGCTGAATATCAATGCCGCCGTGCTATCCGAACGCTTTCCTTTTGCAATTTAAGATGCAGCATCCCTTGGCTGGGGGCCACCCTGCAGCGCTCCCCACTCACGCCGGTGGCACATCCCTGGGCCCCGTTTGGGAACAGCCCGGGCAGCGTTCCCACACCAGCCTCCGGCAGCACCGGCAGTGCCAGGAGACGCGGGCGAGGGCACGGACGCGCCGTCCTGCCCGGGCTGCACAGCCACAGCCCACATTACCAACCATTGCCGGGCACACAGCAGCAAGTAGCCGGGCTGCAAGGACACAGATTCCTGTCAACATGAGGTTATTTATTTTTTTTAAAGATGTTTTTGGTCTGGGACGTGTTCAGGGCGTGTTTTAGCTTCCCCGTATCGCGGGGCACCGCTTACCCTGTGCACAAGAGTGCCAGCCCAGCTGACGCTTCCCTGCCAGGCTGGTCACCGGCTGGTTTTGGCAGCAACTTCGGCACCTTCTTGCTCATCTAGGAAACAAGGTACTGGATAAAATGAAATACGGTGCACTCTGGAAGGCCCCATAAATCCCTGGATGTGGAGCTTTATCTTGGTGTGTGCGAGGGCAGGACCCCGTGGGTGCACTGAGGGGGTCAGCTTCCCCCTGAAGCAGGAGACAGCAGCAGATTGGGAAAAGCGCCTCTTTCAGCTTAAATCCTGCGTGGGTGCTGAGTTGGCGGGTCCTGCGGTCTGACGAGCAGCTCGAGGATGATGGGGTGTTGGTTTAGGTTTTTAGGTCATGTTTGGATAGTGAGCAGAGCAAACTGGGGACCTGCATTGCTTGCAGGGCCCTGTGCAGTGCGGCTTTTTCAGAGCTTTGCTTTGGGTTTTCACGTGCAGCCGTGCCTCAGTTTCCCCAGCGGGCAAATAAACGGCCCGTTCCCTCACCACTGTCAAGCCGAGCTGGCTGGTGGCACCCCTTTGGCGGTGTAGCAGGACTTGTTGACCCAGGACAGGTCATTTGGGCCCCTGATGCCAGCGATGTCTCTGTGCCGGTGCAGCATGTGGTGCAGTGGGGTCCCAGCCATCCTCACTGCCCTGCCCTGTCCCAGTTTAGGGATATGAGTTTTGAAGCTTTGGCAGCACGGTTGGAGGGAGCTTCGTAGCCCTTCCACTGCTCTCGAGCGGGGAGAGAGAAGTAACTAGAGGAAAGTAAGCAGGTGAGGGAGGAGGGCAAAGCTGCTGGTCCCTGATGTGGTGCAGCTGCAGGTCCCTGATGTGGGCTCGGTGTCCCCTGTGCTCCCGGCATGCCCATGCTTCCCATATTCCTGGCATCCCCGTGTTCCTGGTGTTCCTATGCCCCCCATGCTCCTGGCATCCCCCTGCTCCCAGGGTCCCCATGCTGCCAGCACCCTCCTGCTCCCAGTGTCCCTGTGGTCCCCATGTTCCCAGCATCCTCAAGCTCCCAGTGTCCCTGTGGTCCCCATGCTCGTGGCATCCCCATGCTCCCAGCATCTCGGGCACGCGGACCCCCAGTGATGCCTCTTCACCTTTTTCTCCTCCCCACCCCGCAGGAAGAGTGGCCGAGCCGGAGACGATGACTGCCGAGAGCGCTGAAACCAACGGACCCATGCGGGAGCCGGAGGGGGGAACGACTAAGCCACCGGTGCCCCCCGCTCCGCCACGGCGCCGGGGACGCAGGCTGCGGCGCAAGTCACCGCCGGAGGTCCCGGTGAAAGGGCAGCTCCGCATGCGCTCGCCGTCGGGAGCCTTCGTCATGGTGGGCATCTCAGTGGTCCTGGTGGGCATGACCATTGCCGTGGTGGGCTACTGGCCCCATCGGGGACCCGGGGGCACTGGGGCTGGTGCCAGGAATGCCAGCATTGCAGGGGACATGAGGAGGGAGGTGGCTGCCGGGCGCCACGTGCCCCACAGCGAGAAGCTCAAGCTGATCGGCCCCGTCATCATGGGCATCGGGCTCTTCATCTTCATCTGTGCCAACACCATGCTGTACGAGAACAGGGACATGGAGACCCGCAGGCTGATGCAGAAGGGGCTCTACTCCATGGCGGCGGGTCTCCCCGAGGGGACCGGCCCCGAGGACGGGCGCTGCCAGCGCGGGGACGGCCAGCCCATCCCCAAGGCCAACGCTGAGTGCGTGGAGGGCTGCTACCAGGTGGATCTCTCCTGCCAGCCCTGCCCCGGCCCCTGCAGCAAGTGGTCCGACTGCTACGGCCCCAACAGGCTCCAGACCACAGCCGAGTTCCTCCAACACCCGGCAGCATCTCCCGCCGCCTCCCTCCTCAGCCTCCGCTCCGGCGCCTCCGCTGAGGCCAACCTCAGCCTCTCCGGCCGCACCGGAGCAGAGTCCCTCCTCTCCTCGGCCGTCGGCGCCTTGGCGTTGCCCGTCATCAAGCTCAACAACCGCTTGCTGGACGCGGCGGCGCGGGGGGCCAGCGAGAGAGCCGAGGCGGGACATGCCGAGCCCCCCTCCGAAGCACCACGGCTCTCCCGGGCTCCGCTCTCTGGCAGCATCGCATCCCGCAGCCAGGACCGTGGTGGTGGTGGTGGTAGTGGTGGTGGTGGCCACATCGTCATCAACATGGATGGCGGCTGCCCCGGCACAGAACCGGCAGTGGCAGAGCTCAGCCCCGACGCGCAGCTCCATGCGCCGGGACACTCCAAGTCCCTGGACCTCGGCCAGCCGGGGATGCTGCTGGTGGCCCCCATCAAGGACCGTAAGAACCGGAGCTGGCCCCGGCTGGACCACGTCAGCCTGGTGGGTTATGCCAAACTGGAAAGTACTGGCGAGTCCTCGGACCGGCTGCTGGAGCCCAGTGAGCCCCCGAGCCGGGGCGAGCTCCGACCCAGCTCCTGGGTGGTGGGGATGGAGCGAGGCGTGCGGGTCTGACATCCCCAGTGCCCTCGGGGACCGTGACGTCGCAGTCCCTCATCCTGGCCCCCAGCAGCCACCAGCAACCCCAAACCCCCGTGTCCAGGAGGTGTTCAGGGACAGTGTTTTTAAGCGGATGCCAAGAGGGAGGTCCTGACCCGCTGCTCCTGGGGGAGGACTCACCTGGGGTGGGTGGGATGTCCTCTCCTAGCTGCCTCTCAACAGCTTCCTGGTGGATGCCTTTGGCCTTACAAGCCCTTCTCCCAGTGGCTTTTCCAGAGGAGCCCTCACTTTGAGACCCAACACAAACCGCGGGATGGGGACACAGGGCGGGCGAAGCCCCACCAGCCCCCGCAGCACTTTATTTCAGCGGGGTTGGGGTGAGGGGATGTTTTGGGGGGTTGGTGTCCCCTTGCCCACTCTCAACCCACCGGAAAATTTGCTTGACCAGAGCACGTAAGCCCAACGGGGCTATTAAATATTATCTTGATGCCATGCGGTCCCGCCTCGCCTCGTTGTCTTCCCTGCAAGATGCTCAGCTGGAGAGAGTAAGGATGCTCCACAGCTACTGAATATTTGCAGGATAAGGTGATAAGCTCAAGGTTTGGGGCTTTTTTTTTTTGCAGAGTAGGGATGTAAAAGGTGCCCAAGAGAGCTGCAGGCAGCAAGCGAGATGCTGCTGCCCACCCTCCTGCCATCCAGGCAGCTGTGAAATTAAAACAGATTCGCTGGGGTGCAGCAGTTCCCAAAGCCCGTCTGCGGGTCGGGGTTTATTTATGCTGTTTTCTGGTGGGGTGAAGGATGCGGGTAGTGGGAGGAGGGATGCGATGGGGCAGAGAGGTAGGGGTGAGTGTTGGTGCTAGTTTTACCGGGCCCTGTTGGGTGCCGTCATGTTATTTGGTGCCATTTGGATGCAGAACAGGAGCTGCGTGGGATGAGGCCAGAGAGCCAATCTTGGCACTGGGGTGGTGTGATCCCCAGAGAGAAGGTAGCACAGAAACAAAGCCCTCAAAAAACCTCTCATCATAGCAGAAAAATGCAGTAGGAAAATGTGGATAAAACGAAAAATGAAGTAGAGAAACAGGATTCACTGTGTTGGGTGAGGCTGTGCTGCGGGATGCAGCTCTCATCCCATCTCAGGAGACGGCTCCAACCTCAGCAGCCTGGAGAAGGGAAGCATCAGCTGTCTGTTTTCTTGCAAACAAGCAATGGTTGCTCCATCATTTCTTTCCCGATCCTGCCCCAGGACCTTTGCCTTGTTTGCCCCTGGGGAAGGTGTGGGCTGGTCACTGCTTTGGTGCTCAGCCCCGATTCCTGTTGATTCCCCCTGGCATGTGGCTGCGGTGTCCCCCCGATATCCCCCGTGGGTGAAGCCCACGTGAGGATGGGGACAGGGGGTGAGGAGCTGTCAGGTCCCACCAGCCATGGCATGGCCATGGGGCAGCAATGGTGGGGCCTGGTTAAAATAAATAGGAACTGGAGGAATATCCTTCACCTTTGTATTTTTAAGGCAGGGGTGGAGTGTCCCAGCTGTGCCACCGGCTCATGCAAATGCCAGGACAAACCCCTGCCAGGGTGTCCTCCCTTGACCCTGGGAGGCACGATGCTGGGGTTTGACCCGGTCCTTCTCCCCCTCCAAAAAAAACCTTTTTTAACACAGAGTCCATCTCTGGCTCTGGCAGAGGCCCGGGAGCCGGGGGGGGCGGTGATTGGGCACCCACTGCCAGTGGGTGCTGAGCCTCGGGTGGCTGCCAAGGACACCGAGGTGGGAGCATCCCCATGGCAGGGTACTACTTGGGCAGATGGCTGCATCTTTCCAAAGCACTTTTTTGCTCTTTGCCTGTTTCTTTTCCCCCATCTCCGGGGAGATGTCACCTACCAAAAAGCAGAGAAGGATTTTTTTGCAGCAGCATTGCCTTTTCTAAGCGTCTGGCACCAGCATCTTGCCCAGGTACCCAAGGACCACGCCTGATCCTGCCCTCCTCATCAATCCAGAAGTAAATGGTGCCCTTTATGCTCTGATCACTGCCCTGTTCCTGTTCTCCGGCCAGAAACACCCCGTCCATCCGCAGCAGCTGTGTCTGCTGGTGCTGGGGGCCCATCCCATCCCATCCCGCTCCCCCCAGTTCTGGGGCAGGAGGAGCCCCGGGATGCCAGGGGCTGTTGAAGGATGGATCAGAGCGAAGGGGCGAGGACTGCTCTGCTCTCCGGCAACTCAGGAGGCTTCAAAATGCAATGCTGCAGCTTAGATGGGATCTCTGCCTTTTGCCTTCCCAAGACCAGAGCCCACCATGGTGCATGTAAATGGCTGAAATATGTTTTATCTGTATGAAATGGTTGGGTTTTTTTATTCCTGTCTCTGCTTCTCCCTCTCTCTGGTCTGAACTGAGCATGGAGCCTTGGACCTTGCAAACCTCAGGGACGACATCCTTCTCCAGACCAAAACATCCCTGCAGAATGGCTTGGAAACTGCCTTTTCTGGCAAAAATATATTCCCAGCACAAGCACTCCTAGCAGCTCAGAGACTGACATCTCCCTGGCCCAGGGCTGGGGCTGGGCAGAGGGGAACTGTCCCCAGCCAGGGGCTTTTATCACCCATTTTTGTCACCCCATGGGGTTGGGGACAGGGGACAGGGGACAGGGGACAGCGCTGCAGGAGCCAGGGAGGGTTGTGCTGGCGATGCTGTTGTCTCTCTCTCCTGGCTTTCATCACCTTCCACATCACCCTGCATTACCAGTGGCACTTGGCACTGGAGCTGGGAAATGGTAGTTAAAGCCTGCAAGAAACAAAACCGCTCTGCGCTCATTTTAGAAAAGTCAGGGTTTCCACAATCTTTTTTTTTCACCTCCCTTTGGAAACTCGGCATGTTTTGTTTCAATTTTTAGTATTATTTTTTCATTTTAATTTCTATTTTGCCTTTCAAACAGGAGTGATAGCAGCTTTGTACCCTATTGCCCAGAGTAGATCTGGCCCCATCTCCACCTTCCCCCATGCTGCTCTACCTGGTCCCAGCCTGCCCCATGTGAGTCCCCCCAGCTGCGGGGCTGCTGAACCACCCTTTTCCCAAAAAGCAACCCTTAAGCTCCCCTTACACCCCTGCAGTGGTTTTTTTCTTTTTTTTCCTGCTTTACAAGAAAAGGCTGTCTCTGTTTCTGATGCAAACTCTCCCCAAGAAGTTGGGTACCAGCATCCCCCTTTGCAGGGAAGCAGAGATGGGGCCAACGGCTGTGGTTTGGGAGGCAGTAGCATCGCTGAGGTCTCGCTGGGAGCGATACCAACCCACAGCTCAGCTATTTATTTGGGTGCTTAATCTCAAAATTATTTAGGCACTGGTTCAATGCAATAAACAGCAACAACAAAAAGTCACCGGCGGGGTCTGCCCTGAAGCAGCATCCCAGGGGACGTGCCAGGAGGTTGTTTTTAGCTGAAAATAACTTTTCATTCGGGCTTAACCAGCTGCAGCCAGAGCTAATGCCGGGCCCTGGGCCACACTTCAGAAACCGGCAGCAAGAAATTGGAGCCTGAAACACCGTGAGGAGCTGCACCAGGAGCTGCTTCAGGGCTGGGGGCTTTTGTTTTAATTTTCCCCCTTCATTTTCTGGCTGGGACTCAGCCCGACCTCGGGAAGCGGCTGCAACCCAACGTGGCAAATGATGGGGGACGAGAGGGGAACCTGCCTGCAACATCTCCTACCTGGACCACGCACCCACTCCAGCATCCTCCTCCTCCCCCAGCATCCTCCTGGCCAACTCAGCAGCGTCCTCCGAGGGAGAATTTCTGAGCCATGTAGGGATTGTTTCAAAATGCAAAGCTGCTTTATTAATTAGTCTGGTGGGGTGAGAAGACCCATGCTCTCTCTGTGGAGTGCATCATCTGCACATCCCTCATCTGCAACTCTGCCTGTGGACACGGTTTCAAGAGTGTTTGTGGGATTTTAACATCCATCCATTTCAGTGGATGGATGCTGTGGATGCTCTCACTCCCACGCTGTCCTGGCAGCATGCTGGGAATAACACTAGGCGGGAATGGATCTGGGTTAAAACAAAAATTTAAAAATAAAGCAAAAAAAAATCCACCCTGGATCCCTCCATTGACCCCACTCGGCTGCAGAGCTGTGAAATTAAACCACCCTGGAAGCACTGAAGATTTCACGCCGTGCAGCTTGTGAAGGGTGATGCTGGACGGTATCTTATCTTATCCTGCCTAGGAACCAGCTTTATAAACTATAGATTAAATATCCAGCCCTTATCATCACCCACTGGCATATCCCCACCTCAGGAGGTGCCTGCTGCAGGAGGAGATTCCAACCAAGAGAAGGGGGATTTCACCAAACACACCAGCAAAAGAAAATAGTGGGATTGTCCTCAGTGCTGACCATCCAGGCTGACCAGGACTGACCGCGGAGTGTCCCTTGGGCTAATTGCAATTACCCCCACACCACCAAGGGACCTCTAGGCTGGTGCATGGCTATGGAACAGTTTGGGGCAAAAATGGACAAAATGTGGAAAATGGGTTGGGGGAAACCACTGCTGTAGGCTGTGTGTGGGAAAGGTGCCCTGGGGAAGGTGCAGACCCCACCAATGGTTGTGAGAGGGTCTCCCATGCCCAGGGCCACCCCAGCCAGCTGGGACACCTCCATCCGCAGGGGAGGGGGTGGAGGGGAGGTGGGGGGGTAATAACAGCCCTTCAACCATCTCTTTAATGGGGCATCCGCACAGAGCTGGAGCCAAGGACCGTGCAGCTCAGTCGGGGCAGGGTCGGAGCCAGCCCAAGAAACATCCCCCAAAGGGGCAAAAAGGGGGAGATGGAGAGAGAAGGGCTGGAGCAGCCATGCCAAAAAGCAACAGATCCCAATCATAAAGGATCCAGACCCAAACCCCCGAGCACAGAGAGCTATGGCCACGCTCAACCAGATCAGCCGCAGCTGGGGCACGATTGCTCCCACCCCACACCTGATGCTGCTTAGCCCACCCGGTCCCACTAAGTTGCAGGGTTTGCAGCCCTTCCTCCTTCTCCT